TACGAAGGAGTGAGGTAGTGAGGGTCAAAAGGGCATGTACGTGAAGAATCTCACGATGTAGAATGGCTTGGGCCCTCATCGGTATGCCCTCCACTGGAGCGAGACCGGCAGGAGAAGGATTCATGGCGGGAAGGAGATCGGATCGCCTGAGATACTATAAGGCTCCAACAGGTTCCAATGAACCTTGAACAAACTTCGGTCGCTGCGACCACGTACGGCTTGCCCAAGGGCTGCCACCTCTGACCGCTGCGGTCACGTAAGGGCGTGAGCCAACTTAGAATTCCAAAAATGAAACAAACATCCCACTTCTTGTGGCGTAAGCCATCTGCTGTCCGCTCCGGACACTTACATCTCCGGGCAGGGGAGATAACGGAGATAACGACAAACCCCCGGTCCACGGGAGGCACTCTGCGGGCTCATCCCGGACTCTCACTGGGAGAGACACACTTATGGATATGCGTACTGACTTGACAGCGGTGCCACACGCCGGCCTAGGGTACCATTTCCTAAGGGTACAAGTAAGAACCACGGATCCTGGAGGTCCTCAAAAAGGAAAGGTGGCCCAAAGCGCAAGCCGACAACGGAGCGACAGGGTGACGTCGTAGCGCGCAAGTCTGCGGAGCTCACTAGCACTTCACAAAAAGGAAGAAGGGTGCGCCCTCACACTCTTACGTGACCTCACGAAGCACACCGCTGCGTTTCGAAGCTGCAAAACTTCGAAGCGGTCGCCCTACTGACCTCGAACTTTACGCCATCCGTCGCGTGGCCTCCAATCTCGAAGAACCTGGCCGTGCCAAAGCCTTGCAGATTATTCACAAAGCGATGCTGTATCGCAATCTATCACCACCACGAACCAACATCCCCCTTACCGTTCCAATTTTGGCGCGCGGCTCTTTCAACTCCGACACCCAACAATGGTTGAAACCCCTCATTTGACAGTACATCTCCCACGCCATGCCCCCACCTGCCGGCTCCGAGAAGCCGCCCACCAAACCTTGCGCAGCCAGCTCCACAACCACCGCCGATGGGAAGAAGCCATCCTCACGCCGGCCAACCACGAGGAACTTCCCTGCGCTTGTGCACATTTGCGCACACTCCTTCTCGACCCCATGCACACACACCACTATACCGATGGACATTACATCCTCACCCTCGACCGCCTCCACCTTCCACCACACCTTCGCATCTTCCTAGATGCCAACATGAATAGCACGTTCTTTCCCACCAAGGCCCGGTAATTCCTCACCTTCCAGAAGGGTTTCCGCCACTGGCCCAAAAGCCAAGGTTACCCTCCTTCCCTCACACAATACACTGACAGTTTCCTCCACCAGCAATGGCAACAACACATCCTTTCTCTCAAACTACAGCCCCGCTTTACAGCCAGAATACCTCGGCGACCAAGCGCTCCTCCGCCACGCGGGACGCGGGTCTCACCACCTGGCGCGCGGAGCTCTTCCAACCCCGGCCACATCTCACCCCACTCAATATCAGCGAACACCTCCGAGCCACAGTTCCCACGGGCCTCCGCGCATGCGGATTCTGCAAGGGTTTCACAATCCCCTATGGCTCATCTCAAAGAGAAGGAAGCGTGGCGTAAATGCAGAACCATCATGTCCTACTACCATTCCCTGGCCGGCAACCTTTTCCGCGTTACGAGCCGAGCCCTCGACATTATTCTCCAACACCTGTACCCACAGCATCCGGGCCAACTTTCCATCCCACAGCTATGGCAGCACTTCCACGCACGCCTCAACAACGTCCCCACCGACATCACCCTCCATGCAACTAACGACGATTTGGTTGGCTTCTTCCACTCTGAACCACAACATCGACTCCTTGACGCAGTCCACAGCCTGATCCAATATTGGCAACAACACCAATCCACCCCTACACTCACCATGCCACAGGCAACCCCTACCACCATGCCCACACCGGCAGATACCATCAACGCACACTCCACGTCGCTGACATCCCCACCGTTGCGGCGTTCTTGCATTTTCCGGGCCTGCAACCAAACCAACAAACAAGTTCGCGGCGCTGGCATTGGCTCCCAGCTGTCACCGGCCCTCTGCAACGTCGCCATCACCCTCATTGAACACGCTTGGCAACAACTCCACAATAACCTTCTCCACCGCACGAATTTCTATTTCATTTACTACCGCTACGTCCGCTGCGTGGACAACCGATTCATCACCCACAACGAAGGTTTTCTCTCACATCCAGCCGTTCAAACACTCATTCACCAAGACTTCTTCGGTGACCCCATTGAGCTTGAAACCCACTTGCTTGGCTTCAACATAGACTTAGCCACGCAGCCACCCGCGCAATCACCTACATCCAACCATCACAGTCCTGAAAAACCCGGGGCCCCACGTCAGCCGGCAGCCAACGCCTGGCCCTGTCGGGCCTAGCTTCACGCATCCATATTTACCATCTACAAGTACACCTACCCCTCCACAGCAGCTGCTGCCGCGGCTGACCGACTTGTCCACCTGTACGTCGCCAAAGGGCAATCAGCGACAGGGCGCAAAATGGCGCAAACGTTTTTTCAAAAGAAAAGATCCGCTTTGCAACAAGTGCCGCCGAGACCGGCGTACTGTGTGCGTCACCCTCCGTGTCCAGGAGTTTTCCTTTTCGTTTTCAAAAAACCGCAGGGGGCGCGATGGTCGATTTCCGAGCTACGCCAACGATGCTATGGAAATCGACTGGATGGAAGTTTGGACGCAAACTTCTGCTGTACCTGTATGTGTGTCAACACTCCACTCTCCACCGGTGTGTTTTGCGGTGGCTTCTCACGCTACTTTCCCCTCAAACAGGTTTCCCTCCTCCGCTTTCTGCTGCCGCGCTTTTGCAGACATGTGAACTTTCTGTTAAACATTTTAACTGCGCTGACCATTTCACCTTGCGTTTTGTCATTGTTGATTAAGACTGCAAACCCTAAGACTAAGTGTGTGCGTGTGCGCGCGCGTGCGTCGACTCCTGTTCCTCAAGAATTTGGCCGCGCTACGGAACTCAATTGAACGCGCACCAATTCACTATCCTGCACAGCTCACTTGCAGGGGGGCAGTCGACCGCTATCACTCTCTGCCCAACGAAGACAGTGATAGTTTGGTCGTGATCTCCAGAAAGGACGCTTTCTGGACGTACCTGCAACAATTTAATCTTCCTTCTGTAAAGTGCGACTGCAGTCAAGGGCTAATGCGCTTGTTCCAACAATTCGGTTCTCTGACCCAGCATTCTCGCCGTCGTGCGCGAGGGGGTGTCCAAACTGATAGGGCTCTTGCGAGCATGGATCTAAGTGTGTCTCGCAGCATCGTCCCAAAGCGGTGTGCTGTGTGATCCCCGTCAAGGGGCGCGTTGAGCATAGACCCTAAAGGGGGATCAGTCACCGGCTTGCCTTCTTGCGCGATTCTTACCGGCTTGTCATTACGCAGGCTGCGGCAGAGCTTACTGAGAAATTTTCCAAGAATGACACGCATCGCGCGTCTAAGTATTCAGGTTGTACAGTTCCAAACCATGCCGCTGAGTACTCATAGGCTTTTGGACATGTTTTCGGACATGCAATTTTTCTGCTTTCGGTTTCTCTTCGTTTTCTAGGTCTTTCTTCGTCGCTGAAAGCTTTTCAGGTGTAACGCGCAGGCCTTTTCAGTCAATGGAGCGCCGGTTTCGGCTTCTTTGGCCAGCGCCTGGCACTCCGCCCCCCCGCACCCCTGCACCTTTCGTTCTTTCCTTGCCCTTTTCGTTTGTTTGGTCTTTCCTTCAGGCTTGCTAGGTCGACTTCCAGGCTCGTTCAATCAATCCGCGCCCCACGTCCCCTCCCTGCAGAGAAAAAGAGCGAGCGCCGAACGACGGCTTTTGCGCGCGTCAACTCCTGTCCCTAAGGAATTTGGCTAGGCTACGGCTAAGGAACTCAATTCTTAACTCGCACCAAATCACTATCCTGTACAGCTCTTGCAGGGGGGCAGTGGATCACTATCACTCACTGCCCAACGAAGACAGTGATAGTTTGGTCGTGATCTCCAGAAAGGACGCTTTCTGGACGTACCTGCAACAATTCAATCTTCCTTGCGCATTCGGTTCTCTGACCCAGCATTCATGCCGTTGCGCGCGAGTCAAGGTCTAATGTAATCAGTACAACTAGCTCTCGGGGGCGTCCAAACTGATAGAGCTCTTGCGAGCATGGATCTAAGTGTGCGCGCGCACGCGGACGTTCGATAGACACTCGTTGAATGAACCCACAGCTGAGCGTGAACCATAAACGTCGAATGTCTGCGCTGCGCTTGAACTGAAGACTTGGCTTGGGAATGAACCATGATTTTTTCGCGCTCATTCGCGGTAGCAATCCCTCTCAATCCCTACGGCAAGTTCAGTGTCCTCTCAGTCCTTCACTGCAAGGACTTCGGGAACTTCACGGAGTTGGATGTAGTACTGCTGGCTGTTTCCTGAAAACAGGCCGCGCACACATCATCTCAAAGAGTCCAATTGCAAAGGCAACTTGGTAATCAAAACTCGCGCTTTGCGATGCGTTGCGCCGGCGCGCAGCGGGCGCATTTGGAGATCCGCCGACCCCGGCTTGTCTATCGCCTAAAGGAGGCGGCGCCTAAAAACCAGTGGCGCAGGCCCCTACAAAAGTTCCATCAAGCCTTCGGCCCACATCACCACTTTGGTTGGACTCATTGGTCTTTAATTTCGCTGATTCTTTAGAAACCAAGATTTGCCTACCCGAACTCCACGCCGGCCACAATTGCGTGTAGAACAACGTGGGCTAGGCTGTGGCGAGGCACGCCATCCACGCCTCTGGCGGTGGGCAACAACAACAACAACAGCAGCAGCAACAACAACAACAACAACAACGACGACGACGACAAACACAACACCCCCCTTGCCTGCCCTCCTCCCCTGGCACCTGCCACTGAACACCCTGCTGGCCGCTGTTGGGCGTAAGCCCCTGAGATATTCTACATCTTGGCATCTTGCATGCCAAGCAGCGCAAAGCTTGGAGCATTGACGATGCTCATGATCTGAAACAACGCTACCCCACATGGCCCACAATGCAACTGGACACCGGACACCGCTTCGTCCGTGACACTTTGCCAAGGCTGCAGCTTGCGTCAACTCCGGCCTTCTGCGACGCTTCAGGTCCAAGCCTCAACCAAGCCTGGTGAGACAAAGCGAGCACAAGCCGCACAGGGTTGAAGTCCCCTGTGTATTGCACGAGCGCAGCATCAAAGGAAATAATAGACGGTAGAACGCCGTCAAAAGCCCTTGAAAAGGACTCGATTGCGTTACAGATTGCAGCGCAGCACCTGCACTGCCATCACAGCTGCCGCTAGTACTGGTTGAAGAAGAGACCTGAAGCAGATGCAACCAGCAAAGGACAAACGCGTGAGGTATCATTAGTTTGTAAGATCCGCTTAAAATCTAAGAACCAAATCATTAGCGCGAGCGCTTCTTGAAGGAAGCTCTCCCGCCCTCACTAGAAGCGAACTAGTCGCCCGTTCTTAATCAGGTAGGCGCCGACTTAATTGAGTCATAGGTGGGCAGAGCGGGTAAAGAAAAACTAGACGACGAGTGGCCCGAAAGCATTTTTCATCACGTAGGAAGTCAGAGCGCGAGTTATCTGTTAAGTGCGCAGTGTGAAGTGTTAAGTCGAGTGAGTTGAGGTAGTGTGTGGGTCTCTGTGTGTGTATCTATGTCCGTGCGTATATGAGTCTCTGTCTGTGTGCGTGCGTCACCCTTGGAATCATAGGGATCCTTTCGGATTGGTTTGAGCTTTTAGCAGGGGAACTGGGCACTCTGTGACTGACCCAGTTCAACGAAGCTAGGTCACAGAGTGGGATATTCGGACTGATCATCCGAACGTACCTGCTACTTTCCAGTTTCTGCATGGCGCGAGGCTAAGCCAAGAACCTCGAAGTTTGGACGTTTGGATGTTTTTGCCTTGAGCTGCAGACGTGAGCGGAACGCCGTCAACCTGTCGCCTCGTCGATTCGTGGCCTTTAACTACAGGAACTCTGGTCCCCTTCACCTGGTTTTTCAGGATTTGGGTCTCTTAGGCTGGCGTGTGGCGCCGCTATCAAGTCAGTACGCATATCCATGAGTGTGTTTGGCTTCGCGCCAACCCGGGATGAGCCCGCAGAGTGCCTCCCGTGGACCCGTCGAACGGGTGTACGTCGAACGTATCCACTGCCCGGATACAGAGCAGCTCGCAGCGAGCGTAGGTGGCCTAGGCCGTACGTCCGATGATTTATGTCTCATCTTTGGAATTCCAAGCTGGCTCATGCCTTTACGTGACCGCAGCGGTCCAAGCTGGCTTAACGCCTCAACGTGGTCAGAGCGACCGAAGTACTTTTGAGGTTCATTGGAACCTGTCGCGACCTTGGGTGCACACGCATCGTGTACATTGAAACGAGGCAGGTCACCTAGGTCTTTGCAATGAGGTTTGGTCTCATCGGTTTTCGTCCCCTCCATTTGGTTCCCCTTTCATCCCTTCCCCTTCACACACTTTTGTTTCCTCTTTTCTTTCATGTCCTCCTGTCTTCATGTCTGGCCATCTCATCCTTTTTCTTTCGTTTGCGCGCACATTGGTCCCGGCCTTGGTGTGTACGTGCACTTCCACACCTTTAAACACAGGTTTCAGGTCGCCCAGGTCTTTATAATGAGGTGGGCTTCATCGGTTGTCCCTGTGCACTTGATTCCTCTTTCATTTCAACCACACGCATCTTTGCCCCGTCTCGTCCTCTGGCCATGTCTTCATTTTCTTGTCTCTTGGGCGCGCACACGCGCACATCGGCCCTCACCTTAGCTTCTCGCCTCCCCTCGGGGAGGCGTGTGTGTGTCACCCTTGGAATCATACAAATCCGTTCGGATTGTTTTGAGCTTTTAGCAGGGGAACTGGGCACTCTGTGACTGACCCAGTTCAACGAAGCTAGGTCACAGAGTGGGATATTCGGACTGATCATCCGAACGTACCTGCTATTTTCCAGTTTCTGCATGGCGCGAGGCTAAGCCAAGAACCTCGAAGTTTGGACGTTTGGATGTTTTTTCCTTGAGCTGCAGACGTGAGCGGAACGCCGTCAACCTGTCGCCTCGTCGATTCGTGGCCTTTAACTACAGGAACTCTGGTCCCCTTCACCTGGTTTTTCAGGATTTGGGTCTCTTAGGCTGGCGTGTGGCACCGCTATCAAGTTCAAGTCAGTACGCATATCCATGAGTGTGTGTGTCCGAGTAAGTTGAGGCAGTGCACTTCCAGCTCCACAGATTGCTCCGCGTACTACTACCAAGTCGCCAGTTCTCATCTTCCAACTCCCCCGATACTCCGCGTACTCAAGTTGTACTACCAAGTCGCCAGTTCTCATCTTCCAGCTCCCCGGATACTCCGCGTACTAAAGTTGTACTACCAAGTCATTGCACTACCAAGTCGCCAGTTCTCAGCTTCCAGCTCCCCAGCTACTCCACGTACTAACATTGAACTACCAAGTCGCCAGTTCTCATCCTCCAGCTCCCCAGCTACTCCGCGCACTACAGTTGTACTACAAAGTCACCAGTTCTCATCTTCCAACTCGCCAGATACTCCGCGTACTAAAGTTGTACTACAAAGTCGCCAGTTCTCATCTTCCCACTCCCCAGCTACTCCGCGTACTAACATCGTACTACCAAGTCGCCAGTTCTCATCTTCCAGCTCCCCAGCTACTCCGCGTACTAAAGTTGCACAACAAAGTCGCCAGTTCTCAGCTTCCAGCTCCACAGATTGCTCCGCGTACTAAAGTTGTACTAGAAACTCGCCAGTTCTCAGCTTCCAGCTCCCCAGCTACTCCGCGCTCTACAGT